AGCCGGCCACGACACTTGCCATCCATAATCGCCACTGCCGCAACCAGGTAGTAGCCTATACGGGGGATCCTACCAATGGAATTGAACGTCTCAAATGCTCCTATAAATCTCTACAGCCAGCAACGCATGAGCAGCAACTGCAAAAACAGTTGCAATACCATGCCTTTCTTGTGCAGAAATACGACTGGCCAAATCCTGCCCTTCCTGAGGTATCACCACAGGGATCATTGAAGTCAACACATGAACATCTGTTCATCTTAAAGTTCCTATATAAAAACATTCACACATACTCTTGCGAACCACCTGTTCTCCAACAACTGTTTACTCCAAAAATTTGACTTTGCTGACCAAGAATGCACCTCACAGGCACTACACAGCCAGGACTCATCAACGCAGTCATTGGGCCCATGGGCCAAAGCTTCTCCATCCGTGACTCCTTCCGACAAGTGGCTATCAATGGATATCAGTTATCAGTGCATGGGTGGCTCAAACCTTTGTTCATGTTGCAATGCCTAAAGTTGCAAAAACATCCCAAGAACTAGGCTGAAATTGCTAAAATGTGCTCTGCAAGGATCCAGTCTCCTCTGCCGGATCCCAGCTGAAGGAGCCCTGGCGAAAGTCCTGTGCGAGACACAGTTCATCAAACTTCAGAGTCTTGAAGGGCGTCTAAACAATCATAATCATATCACAAGTTAAGTTTCCCTAAAATCTAGAAACCAACTGAATAGTGCGTGAGCTAGCCTGGTCCATACTAGTAGCCTAAGTAGCTACTGGCGACTCCCTAGCTACTACCTCCCTCTACGGCCTACCTCCCCAATTTTAAACAAATCATAACTAATTAGAATCTAATTAGATAGTCATCTGGCGCCTCCCAGCATCGTCTGGAACATGATGGTCTTTTTTCACTTGGGGGCCCTTCTCTCTCTTTCTCTCTAACTTAAACTCTCTAGATGTATGTATATATATATATGTGTGTGTGTGGATATCATCCTCGTGAAATGGCTCTGGCAAGTCTGGCGGAAGGCTGTGATCTTCTTGCTCCTCGAGGACCTCAATGGAATGAAGCAAACATCTATTGAGGCACACCTTTTTATCCTGTACTTAAGTTCACAGGATGCAACGCGTGCGATCGGCCTCAGAGACAAAAATGTGGCTGATGTCCTCATCGCAAGGAAGCGGAACGTGGCTGTCACCTGTCAAGCAGTGGTGGCTTACAGCAAGCCCTCAAATAAAGCTCACGAAGTATTACTGTAAACAAATCATTCAATTGGCTGGAAGGACACGCGATTGAGCCCTGAATGAACTGTCTTCAAGTGTTGTAGGATTGCCCATAAAAATCCATAAATCAGCACGGCCAAAGAACTCCCAGCAAGTTGAACAATGCGATCACCAAAAAAGGTTGCTCCAAGCACACGGTCTCTTGGCCTTCTCTCGGGTTTGTTTGTGCTTTCAACCGAATGGCCTTGAAGCCGTTGCAGCTTTCTCTCCACCGTTGGGAAGCGACGGCTGGTAAGTAGACGGACCTGAAAGACATTAACAGCTGGTGGTTTGGGCATTTGAGTAATGGAGGACAAATCCATGAAGAAGTCTTACACTAAGTTCCTTCAAAAACCCCGCCCTCCAAGGATGAGTTATATACTTGACTCAGTACTGTCTTGGCTCGTCATTTGGGCAAATATCAAAAGCCCTGGCTTCGTTTTTGCACCTACTCGTCCTTCACCTGACATGCAAGCCAGTCAGCAAGTGCGCATTCAATCCGACTGACCAAGCTGCTTCTGACTCCATGTGGAACACCCACAAGGCTCGCAGTTGGCACGCCATGTCGCCATTGGCTTCAGCGGTGGCTAGGAGGGAGTGCGTACAGTTTCTCTTTCATATATTCGGCTTTGAGAAGCCTGCCAGCCAGTGTGAGCATTGGCTCCTACCCATGCTTGTTCCAACAGGGTCCTACTAACAAGCTCCCTAGGAGCGGCTGGAGCAATTTTTCCAACGCTAGATGCGAATATGTGCTTATAAGCATCACATCAGGTCATGTGCACTGACACAGGCAGCTGACGTATGCTGTGTCTCCATGCTTTTGCTGCCTGGAGTGCGCAGTGAGCGAATGCTTCAGCCAAGCGAAGTCAAAACATGATTGATGTTTGTGTTCTTGCTCCGGATGGCGGTGTTTGGGTCAATCTAGTGGCGGAAAGGCTGAGACACCGGTGCAATCGAGAGGCAAGTGGTCTTCCAGCTCGATGTGTGCCAAAGCCGAATCCAGGGACTGCAGCAGGGCGACGAGGGGATCCAATGAATGAGGACTCGAAGGATACTCTGTGTCTGTCTTCTTTCTCCCCTCCCTGGTGATGACCTTGGCTCATACGTTACGATCCGATAGGATCCAATAGTTCATCTTGGGTGGATTCCTGCACCGAATCAGTTGTTTGTATCTACAGCCCTGGCACATCTGAAACTTTGAAGGAGCAGTTGCATCGTTTAAAGCTACACATCACTATGACTATAATTGCTTAACAACTCTTACAAACCTGGTCTCCAGGAAATAGATGTCATTTTGTATCTCATATTGTTGTGCAATTGTAGTGGTGAGATGAGGTGAGCAAATGCATCACCTGCTCTCATCATGGTCTCATGCAGATTTTTGCGCTTGTTCACATGCGACCACATCTGGCAAACATGACCCAAAATCGAACGCACATCGCTCAAATGGATCGGCCTCGGACTCTTCGGTAACAGTTTCTTCCCAGTCTGAGTGTGAGTTCTCATTGGCGGAGTTCTCACTGTCCGCCATGGCCAAAGAAGCGGTAGAAGGACTCAAAGAATGGGGTAGTTTGGTAGTTCTGGCATTGTCTAGACCTTTTCAAATTTGTTGAGCTTGTCTTGGTTTCTTTCTTCCTTGCTGGCTGTTTGCATTTGAGTTTGGGAGCCTTAAACATGAACCGATACGCTGGAAATCTGCCGAGCATATGTCCATTGACAGTCCAACAAGTCATATTCTCTGACCAGTCATGGTTTCTCAGACCGTCCTGCTTGTAAACATACGTGCCAAGCACACCATAGGCACTATGCGAACATGCACTGCACTCGCTTTTTGCCTGCGGAGGCGTGCCTTTCACAGCGTTGATCGAATTCCAGCCAGCCCTGTGTCTGACTGTGGCAAAGGACTCATTGGCGAATCTTTCCTTTGCAAGCTTGTCAAGATCTGGTAGTCTTGAGGAAAGTGTGTTTGAGCATGCATTTGCAAGCGTCAAACAATAATCTGCATGCTGCTCCAACCCTGCGTTTCTGACGGTGCTAGCTTAGCTACCTAAATCAGTGCTTTGGGTCAATGTGGCCCAGGGTCATGGAGTCTTGCACGTACTTGGCGGCCCGCTTTCAAAAGAAAGGAGAGCAATACTCATCTTGAATTCAGGGGCATGAAAGAAAACCTAGCGGCCTAGCGGCCTCCTCCACGCCTGTGAATCGGACGCCAAGTGAAACGGCCTCGAGGCAACTCAGCCATCGATAGAAACATCTTGGGACCAGCCTGGACGCCATGGATCATTCGGATTGGTCATCTGGCTTAAGAGAGACGCAATGAAGCCTGACCGGCCTGACCTAGTTGCATTTGAAATAATCCTGCTCAGTAGTAGCATCACCTTTTTGAGTCAAGCAGGTAGTACATCCAGTAAGGTATTTAAGCTGTCTTTAGCGTTTTGAGGAAGGCTTTTCTTGGTTCGGTAAAAAGGCCATTGGTTAAAGGCATAGGTTGGAGGCCATCGCTCCTAGGGTGGAGGCCATCGCTCTTGGTACTATGGTTTTGGTTCAACTTGCTTGATTTATCTCAACCCGCCATGCAGAGCCTTGCTGAGCACGTTGCTTTTGTCGCCAGGCGCGGGTTTCCGCAATCACCTGAACAACCCGTCCAATGCCTGTTGCACGAACTTTGTTATGTTCCAATGCTGGGCTGGCGCATTTTCCCTCACAGGTAAGACGATGTCAGTTTGGGGGAGGGGTAGGCTGACATCACGAAAAGACTCGCCCAAAGTGGAACATGAAAGACAACTTTGGGCAAACATCCTATCTAAGACCAGAAACATCAAAATGCAAGTCTGAACAGGTTGAATGAACGCATACCTATCTGGAGTTTACTCAAGTTGGATCTGTCAACACTGTTCGACTTACTTTATGTGGATATATAATACTCTCCACTGACCAGAAACAAAGTCATTTCTTCAAGTGTATGCCGCTGTGTAGTTCTTCAAATGCTAACACAGAATGCTTCACTCTCATGGCATAAGAACAAACAAACGCAATAATTACTACACCACTACCGCTATCATCTGTGTTTGTCACTTTAGTTTGGGAAACGTGTTAACATGATAAAACTCTGAACATGTCCATCACTTGACTAGCGCCTGCCACCACTCCTTTGGTTCTGAAGTGTGCCGTTCCTCTGCCATCAGAGGATCATCACTTGTTTGGTGGTTCCTTCTGACTGCAAGCAGTACTTGCCAACCTTGACATTTTGCACACAAATCTGCCCAAACAACTGGATTCTTCACAATATATCACAATATTGCAGGATTGACAACAGCAGGGACATCATGACGAGATTAAGTTCACTTCACTTCCCTGACATGTGTCCTCTGAGAGTGGTATCCGGAGCGAGGGACGCACCACCTGCTATGGTAAACCGTTAAACTCATCATTTCACAGTTCGCAGGCCCCGCTCCAATTGTCTTGTAACAAGGACGCTATTAGGTGGAGGCCAGCGCAAGTAGGTTGGAAGCCATCGCTACTAGGAACAAGAAGCTACTAGTAGCACAGGTTCAGGTCTGGAGCTGCCAACAACATACACAGCCTTTCTCCACACTACGCAGTCCGTATACTAAACACTCAATTGCCCAGCAGGCCCTTGAGTTCATAGCTCCTCTAGCATACATGTTTCTGTACTGCAATAGCTTGAGGTCGATTCTGGCCCAAACTCAGGCTCTAGGTCAGTGACCCAACAAGCTTAGACATCAAAGCTTGCTTTGTGGCTGTCCACTGCTCCAACGGACCTGAGGTGGCGCTCGGTCCTACAACCCCAAGAACGTATGAGAAAGTGGGACCCAACACAACTCAGCCTGAAGAAGCAAGCAAACGCACGAGTTGGAAGATGCTCACACCACAATCGAAGATGGGCCATCCGTCTCATGCGCTCGCTGGGCTCCGGGCTAGCCAATTGAAGAGTGGTGTCAAAAGCCATGGCCGCACAACTTCCAAAGCTCCAACCAGCCGTGCAGAAAGTGCAATGTCAGGGTATGGAATCGCAGACCTGAGCGAATCTAGAAATCAACCAGCAGCTGCACTGAAGAACAGGGTGATCAATCCTGTCGAATTGGTGATTTATTTGGTGGTACAAATTGAGGAAGTAGGGTCAAGTTGAGCCAGCTACAACAAGTTCGGCTAAGCCCATGGCTCACTCAATTCCCCGCGACCTATTCGCAGTAACTTGTCTGCGGCGAGAAAGCCACTTCGTGCCGCGGATTCCATGGAGCAGGGGAAGTCCGTACGTGTCCAGCAGCCAGAGATGTAGAAGTCCGCGATGGGTGTTTGTTGACTTGGTCGGAGCTTCTCAGTGCCTACCACTGGCCGATGGATAGCCATGGGGATTCGGTTCACGACACTATGGAGGACCTTGGCGTCTGAGGCAACGGGGAAAGTCTCCTGGATTTCACGCAGGGTTTGCTGAACCACTTCGTCATCGGTCATCTCCTGCAACCTTCCGGAGTCAATGATGTTCGAGCCAATGAAGGACGGACGCTCCTTCCAGAGCTTACCAGCTGCGTCAGTGCCTGAGTATATTTCAGAGAAGTCGTAGAACTCACAGTTCAGGTCGTCCTTGTTGTAGGTTCTGGCCCACATTTGTCTACCTCCTGAAACCTTGCGGTCAAACCAAATATACACTGAGATGTATTTGCAGGGCTTCAGTGCCTCCATATCCTTTAGAGATGGCCAGGCTGAGAGCCATGCTTCTGGCAGCATCGGCTGCAGGGTTTGTGGAGGTAAGGTGCTAATCACACCGAGTTTGGCTAGAATCTCTTCGCCTGAATCCAACACAACTCCAGTGCAGTTATTTTCATCTCCTCAGGGTGAGAGGGCGTCAAAGGGAGAAAGGTAAAGAGCATTAAACAACCACCTACTCAGTGGAGAATGACCAAATCGTGTCCAGTTGCGCAGGAGGTGTCTGCATCGCTATCCTCACCATAGAAACATATTGAAACTAAACCTGGGATTGTAGATCTCTCTCTCTCTCTCTCGTTGCTTCCTGAATGGTTCCCCAAACTCGTTTGATTAAAAACCCATCCACCTAAGAAGCCTCGCACTTGGCAGCTGGTGCGGACCTGAGCACCCATGGATTCCAGCAATGGCTTTGCTGGAAGAAGCAGCTCGCCCAAGCCACAGCCTGCAAAGCCCATCTCCATGGAGGACCTTCCCACCAAGCGTCGAAAGAAACGCACCAGAGCGGCAGCAGAGACTTCCTCCAAGCCAAGGACTAGGGGCAGAAATCGCCATGGACAGAACATGAACACACACGCACACACACACATAGATCACATAGACATAACTATAAGTTATATATAAGGAGCATATGATATACCATAATGAAGCCCTAAGTTTCCCCTCTAATTCAAGACCCACATCAATATCTGGCTCATTCTTTAAGGAAGGGCCCCGCCGTTCTGTGTCCCAGCTACGAGTAGCTACTTAAGCTTCTTAGTAACTGCTAGTAGCTACTAAGACGGCCTAACCCCTTCCTGGACTACAAAAGTTAAAAGGAACATAACAAAACAAGGACATACTGCATATATACTTGGAAAAATAAGAATAATGTTACAATCATTCGTGCAAATTGGCGTGGTGATGCGCGGCAATGAAGATGATCTCAATTCATTCATGACCCTTTCGAAGCCCCCTAGTGGTCCAAAATCGTCAATAATACATCTGCCCTTTCTGAAGAGAACCTTGAGATGCCATCTGAGACGGATCAACCCTCTTCAATGCGTTGGTTCATTTCAGTTGTACTCGACGATGTTGACAATGTGCCCGCAATACTGGCAACCTTTACCTGCATGGCTTGGGCGTAGCCTATATACTTCCTGTGGGCAGGTGGGCTCGAGTGTTTTTTAACTATTGGCAGGATCAATTACACCTGGCGGCTGGATGAGTGACTGAGCCAAAGTGTTGGGATGGCCAAAGTGTTGGGCGCACGGGCTGTGGGCACCACGATGACCGCATATCACACGATACCAGAACCACAACCCAACCTGCCCGCAGTCCTCCACAGGCACGTTCAAAATGGCATGAGACAAGAATCCCCAGAAATGCGTGATGTAAGGCTCTGTGACCCCCAAGCTGCGCAAAAAATCGGCCCCAGACTCGTCGTCCTCACTGACAAGCAAGGAAGCTGCTCACCCCCAATACGTACGTATTTGATTGAAACAGTTGCATGCATTCTCACCTGACAACCCTAAATGTCACTTCGACGAAAGTATATTGTAGTGAAATCAAGCGTCTAATTCGAGCAACTCCTTCTCTGAGAGGCTCAAGCAATACACTGCCGCTGGCACTGTGGAATGCTTGTCGGCCCAGCTCACAAAAGGATCCGTCATGGAGGCATGGCCCCACGACGCTGGAGCAGGCAACGGCATCGTCCGGATGTGATGCTCCTGCCTTCCTTTCACCATGGTCACAAAGTGACGCCACGGCTGCCAGACGATCCTCAAATTCGGGTCAACATGTCCACAAAATGAACCATCTGGGTCATTACCGCCTATACTATACCCATATATACCTGCAGTAATGACCATACATGCACCAATTATATACCAATGATAAACAAAAACGTTCAAGGAGAGTTCAAGAGTCTTTTCCCTTGTGCCTAGCTCTTCCAAAAGCTTAAAGAAGTTTGGGTACTCCGAGACCACCACGTGCGGGCCAATGTGGACAGGATCGCGTGTGACTCCATCTGTCCAGCTTCGCGCCCGACCCCCAAGAATAGAGCGACTCTCGAGAAGCATGACTTTCAGTTTCTTTTTGGCCAAAGTCACCTTAGTGGAAATTGCAGTCTGTTTCCATCTGTTTTCTGCGAACCATTGTTGAAAACATCTCCGAAATCCATGAGTTTCACGTTGCCGATTCGATTCACAAGTTGGAGCTTGCAACCCCCTCCCTCTCGTCTGTTGAGCAGCAGGGCTCGACGATCCCTTTCCGCCACCTTCTTCAGTCTCATGGAGTCAGTTCTGTCAGCCCCACAAGTCGCACTGAAAGAACAAAAGAGTACTCAAACACCACGGAGATCAGGAGAACCCTGATAAGCTGTGACGAGATGCTGCAGCCGCCAAACCAGCAACACCACCACCTACGACGACGATATCCACTTCAGAGGCCATGGCTGAAGAGCAAATGGAACAGCTCTACACAAACAGTACATGCATGCATCTTTTAGAAGTGTAGGTTGGGACATGCATGCGGACTTTCGGTCAAGTGAACTCACACACACAGTAAAATGTGCCAATCAAGGCTGCATAGTTCCCACATGTTCCCACAAGGTCTCGGCCATTATTTGAACTAGGAACAGGCTCTTCACGACCCTCAGGTTTGCTGAAGCATTCCCCTGAACCAGAGTCAAGGCACACTTGTCACCTGCAGCTGTGTTAAACTCAGTGATTCAGCGGTATGAGCAAAGGCCACAAACGGCCACATTTCAAGCTCTCTGACAAGCTGTCCAAAACCATGTGAAGCGCCTCTTTCCATCGCACCAAGGTGTCAAATGCATTGCAGTGTCTGACTCACTCGCTGATGAGTCCACATAAGCAATCTTCCAGAGTTCCGGCAACGAAATACAAGAACACGTCAAATACAGAATCCAAGGCCCAAGTTTAACTTCTGAAGATCTTGCCTCGTCTGGGGTGTTGAGCTTCACAGAAAGCAAACAATTAGCTGCCTGCAGGATGCAAGGCAAAAAACTTCAGGGCAAAGTTTCATTTGCCTTTGGCAAAACAAGCCCCTTTAAGGTGCCAAAGTCCTGCACTGAGTCACTACCTGCAAGTGGCCTTTTCTTTGCAGCTAAGACCTATGGACATAGATCTAGCCGCAACAAGCAACACCTCCACTATCCAGCTCGAATCTTACATCATGCCTTTCAAGCGATTCAAGACAAGAATCACTGAGTCCATCATGGCTGTGCTGTTTTGAAGGCTGCTTCACAGATCATTCTTGCACATCGTCTAGGATGAGCGCAATCAACAACACTTGAGAGATGCCCCTCTTCGGAGAGTAGAAGCCTTCAGGGCCAGGAACTGAAGCAGCTGCAAAGTAGATAGCAGCACATTTTCTTGACACTGCCTTGAGCACTTGAAGAATATATATACATATATCATATATATATATATAGATGGATGGAGGGCCCACCGAGCAGAATAAGCTGTCTGGGATAGTGAGGCATTCGAGAAGACATGGGAAGACCATGGATGACCCCCTTCTGCAACATGCTGAGAGCGGCTCGTCTTGTTTTTGATGCAAACCTTTGCAGGAAGTTATTCGTGCTCCGATGAAGCAAGTGCGTAATTAAGTTGGAGGGATCCATCATGTGTGAGCAAAAGAGGAGTTCCTCGCGGCGTCCATTTAGCTAGACACCTGTAGCGCCAAGCGGGGCAAAGTTCTGGACATCAGCTCTAACTCTGAAAGGTTTCTGCCGGGCAGCGATCAGAATTTCAACTCCAGAATGTACTCTGGGTACCTGAGGACAGGGTGTGATTGACCAATAACATGGGCCCCATCGCCATCCCTTGCCAAAGGCTTGAGATTTGAAACAAGAGATTGAGTCCAAGCAAAAGTAAAATTGACTAGCAGCCACTTCTAGCATCATGCGCTACTAGGTGGAGGCCATGGCTATTAGATTGGAGGCCATCGCTACTAGTAACAAGAAGCTACTCATAGCTTCCAGAATGCGGCCACGCACGGTTTCACGACACTGTCCTTTGGGACGGTCTTAGCTTGAGGAAGTGAAACACGTCAGCCATGCCGGCTGTGCTCGAAGGTTCTGTCTCAAAAACATTTACGCACGGGAGAACCAGCACCCAAACACACACACATACATGTTTTTTGGGGTTCGGGTATGGGCTGTGAATACATGTCCACTCTCCTTGCGAGCACCTTGGCAAAAAGCGCCCCATAGTGTGCCACCATCTTTTTTGGGGCGACCAGAATCACCAGAACTGACGTCCGGTCGCACGGTGCGCTTCGGGCGCTTCTTTGCATTCAATTGTCCTTCGAGTCTGTTTCCTTCGATTCATCTTGTTCACTTTCAGAGTCTTCCTCAGGAATGGCCTCTGCTTGGGGTAGTGCGACCGTCCTCCTTGGCATGGACCATCGCACCATAGTGGCACGTGAGGACGTAACCCTTGAGTATGACAAACGATTCCTTGCTCGTTCGAACATCGACTGAACAGCATCCTCATAAAGGTCCTGCTGCCGGAATACGTCGGAGGGGCCGGCTTCTCTGAAGGCTTCTAGAAAGGTGGTTGCAAATTTGGCACACATTTTCCAAGTGGGCAGGTACTTTGCTGCAATCTGAGCAAATGTCAAGGAGTCCATGGCCAGCATCTCTGTCTTGACCTGGGCATGGGCGGTCCCAGTATGTGTCCAAAGTACCCATAGCGCTGCTTCAGACAAAGCCTCACCGTTGCTCAGGGCTGGAGAAAGAAGGTTGTGATTCGCTTGGACATATGCCAAATCGCCATGCACCATGAAATACATTTGTTGGGCCACTTCATGTGTATAGAACAGCACCTCAGTCGCTGCAAGGGTTCGTGCAGAAGTGCCATCTGAGCAAACCTTGATCATGAAGACTTCCTGTTCCTTCACCAGGATCTGAATCAAGGGATGAAGAACCATCTTCACATATGTCAGCTCATAATTAAGCTCCTCTCGCAGCCCCAAGGAAAGCATGGAGAGCAATTTCACATTCTGAAGCTGTATCCGATCTGTCTGCTGGGCATGGGAATGTTCGATGTACTTCAAGACCTTTCCGGCTACTGGCTTTGCTACCTCAGGGCACAACTATGGACACAAATGCTTTTATATACAGGGGCTCGACTTCAGCATAGAGAGATGATTAATTGATACAATATTAATTATGTACATAAATGAAAAAACAATTGTAAACATATGTGAACCCTGTGTCTCAAGACCTCCTGCATACTCCCGCCTTCTCTTGCTTGAGGAAGCGCCGCAAAATCCAGAACTGCTTGGTGGTCTCTTGGTTCATGTTTCTCAAGGCCGTCATAGAGGCCGAAATGCTGGCCAGGAAGGAGCTGAATGCCACCAAGGAGAAGATTAGAACAACCACAGCCATGGTGCGCTCAGCCACGTTCGCGGGGAACACTTCCATGGAAGCTGGGGTAAACTGGGTCAATGTCCAGTGCAAGCTGGTGGTGTATTGCCAGCTAATATCTTTGTTGATCATGTCGTGGTCTGCAACCCAACTAGCTTCTCCTGCCTCCTTCATCGCAAGACCAATGCTGAACCAGCCACATGCAATCAAATGATTGGTAATCAGAATGAAGCCCATCAACTTCCCCAAGCTGGCTAAAGTGTACACATACTCTGAGTCGATCATATCTTGCATCTCGGCCAGGATGCGCTTCAATTTCCAAAGCCGCAGCAAGCGCAGCATGCGAACCGTTCGGAGGGATCGGAAGATGCGGCCGAAGCCGCCCACATCGGAGGTCTCAGACTGCAACGTGCTGAACCAATCAAGGCTCACCACAGCGGCATCAATCAGAAACCAAGTGGTGATGTAATGAAATGCAATGCGCCAAGGATTCATGATCAATTCACCCTTACTCACATAGCCTGTGGTGAAGCCCAATCCTATGTCCAGAGTCCAAAACACCATGGTGAGCCATTCCATGCCGACCGTAAAGACACTGGGGGCGGGTCGAAATGCGGCATCAAAAGGCAAGTACACTGCATCATATGCAATGAGAAGTGCGCCGCAAATATCCCACAGGACTCGCAAACCTGCTGAAGGATGACAAACTGGAAAGGGACAGCAGCATGGAGGTCCTTCGTCACTGGACTCAGTAAGTTCATCCAAGTCCAGTGTTGATGCTCTCTTGGCAGCTGCGCCCGCATTCTTGGGCTTCTCAAGCCAAGTTGGCCGAATCTCAAGCTTGGTGTCCTCACCAGATTCGGCAGCAGAGGCTTGCGAGAATCTGTCAGCCAAAGCAAAAGGAGGAGGATCTGGAGCTGAATTTGGCTCATGAAATGATTGATCAGGCTCATGCGAGTCTTCTTGAAGTATACTAACCTTCTTGGGAGGCCGAAGTGGCATCACCTTCTGGATCTCTGAGCTGCCATCACCGCGAAGTTGCGACACTTCCAGCTTCAACGCTGCCAACTCACTGATCTTGGCATCCTTCTCCAACCTCACTTTGTCATAAACCGCCACTAACTGGGAGATCAGCTGCTTGAAGTCTTCTCTGTCGGGCTCATTGGGATCATCAGCATCTCCAAGCCCTTCACACTTGCCATTTTCACCGCTCGGCAGCGGTCTTGGCATCCCCGGTGCTACGGGTTTTTTGGCCCGAAACCTCCCAGTTTGAGCCAATGGGCTGACTCTGCACGGCTGGTTTCCAGGAAAGCAAAGCGATGAACAACAACATGAACAAGACACATCTCTCAACATTGTCTGTTGTTTTTTCTTAAGTATGTTTTTTCCGCCTTTGTCGTTGAATGTTCTTCCCGTCAGCTCTGAACACCAAACATATTGCTCAAAAGCACCTTTTGCCCATGGAACATCATGGAACGCCATTCTGCTTGGGCACACTTGCGAAGCATCGAAAAGGATGTACTCTCTTGGCCCGAGCTTGTTCGGATTGGCCAGAATGCAAGTCTTCCTCAGCAACAAGGGCCTATGAGCTTCACAGGTTGCTACACTGATCTGCAAGGAACCACGCGGCCAAGGCAAAGGGGATAGCTGTGACTTAAAACACTTGTCACAAGCTTCTTCTCTTCCTGAGCCTGCTCGTGTGCTGTAACATCGTGGTCCTGCTCGGTGTAGTGCAAGTGACCACATACCTCCAGGTTGGGTATTGTCAAACGGTTTTCACCCGGGGCTTCCAAAGGCACAATCAGCGTCTTAAGGCACTAAACACTAACCAAGTCAATCGGAATCAGTGCAACTCAACGAAGGTCAGTGGCACAGTTTCCACTGAAGACAAGCCACAGCCCTGCAAAGCACCACATAATAGACCTCAAAGCATGTGCGGCAAAAGCTCACAAAGTCGTGACCCCAATGACAGTACACAATTGATCACGTTTGTGCCGCCTCCTACAAGTTTACAAATCACTACAGCAACATCTTGGGTGGGATCTTCTTCTTTGG